CAGCGCCCGGCTGGTGGGTCCTGCAGGGGCAGCGTGCCACGCCTGGCCTGCAGCTGCCTCCCGGCCAGGGCTTTGCCCGACAGCCCCTTCACCCCGGATCTGTCCGTTCCCCATGGCCCAGGCAGGAGTTAAAACCGAGAGACCGTAGCTAGAAGCAGCTCAGCTTTACACCAACGCTTGTTTAAAGCGGAAGGAAAACAAATCCCAGCTTTCCTGCCACCGTGGGGGAAATCCCATGTTTGATTCTCTCGCAGCACCACATTAAGCTTTGGTGCTGCTCCTCACCCACCCCAGACCCGCCAGCGAGGCAAAGCCCGAGAGCGCTAGGCTGCACCCAACACGCTCCCCAGAGCAGTCAGGCTCTCTCCAACACAGGGCACCCACAGGACTTGGGACCTCGGGGTTTCTTCATCAGCTCTGCTTGCCCGCTCTGGCACAAAGGAGCGAGGCACCTTCACTGGAGGATCTTGGCTAGGTCAGAGCAGTGCACAAACACACCGAGCTGTTTACACAGCAGGAGGAGAGGAGACGCAGGCAGCCTCTCCTCATACAAACACTCACGCGGGGGCTAGAAGCCTTTGAAGAACACAATGACCTTCGCTATCTGCTGGCAGATAGCGCAGGGCTGCAGGAGGCTTTACTTACAAACTCATCAGCAAGGCATTTCCACCACCTTTCTTTTCCCGTCTCAGAAAGGCTCCATAAAGAGCCAACCACCCTTGTACATTTTTACGTTTTATAAGGTCAACATTTCCACAGAGAGTACCACGTTAGAAAACATCCACTCAAGTACAACATCAGCAGCAGCGCAGGGGAAAGGTTCAGCGCCCAGAGCAGAGCTGGTAACAACACAGCCCAGCGAGAAATAGGAACCACGTGGCTGGGGGCACACAGAAGCCTTTAGCTGAGACTTCAAAGCCTTTCCGGATGTTTCACCTCTCCTGTTTTGCCCCCCAAGTCCACAGTTGTCTTCAGTCCACGAGGCGCACGGCCTCTTCATTACAATTAGAGCACTCACCGCTCTAATTGTGAGCAATCAATCACTCTTGGATTCAGGGAAGCGCCGCCCTGCCAAGATATAAGCAAATCCCGGGCTCCCCAGTGCTGGCTTCCCGCTGTGTGGTGCCGCTGCCAGTTTGTCCCTGCTTTGAAACTACCATCCTCGCTACCAGTCCCCAACGTGCTCATCTCACTGAAAGAGAACATGAACTTTCCTCCTGGACGCAAATGGCAACATCATAAAGTCTGTTGCTTTGGGCCATACTACCCCAAATCCTTACTTTGCTTTTGTTTAAAATGTTATGTTGGCTGAAAATCCAAAACAAAGCAGCAACACAGAATATGGTCAGCAGTAAAATAACAGTTAGTAGAACAGTACAACAGGACAGAACACATTCACAAATGATGGGATTTCCTCCTCAGCCATCCCATTACCAGATCAGGCTGCCAGCCTCCATCAGCAGAGCGCGGAGGAACAAATCAGAACCAGCTGCCACGGAATGTACCAAACTCCTACCAGAAAAGATCCACTGTTGCTCTTACTGTATAGAACAGAGCGCGTGGGAGCGGCCCTGTTCTGTACACAAGTAACATACATAATAACAGCGGGGAGCAGATCATCTTCAGGCATTAGATGATTCGGGGAATGATTACAACACAAAGTTGATTTGCAGCCTGTGAATGCATAAAGCCATTTCAGCTGTAGCTCCCAATAAAAAGTTCACCACAGCCTCACAAGCCAGGCATTTGCTTCAGACATTCCAGTTCAAATGTAACTGCAAATTAATCCATGCCACTTTGTTTCCCCCCTTAGACTTCACGTACATAGACGTCTTGAAGCTCCACTGCTCAGTGGAGCGATGATTCACTGAGCTAGGCTTCCCTTCTGACCTGTCCACAGCTCTCGGAGCTCCACTTTGCAGCCAAGATCCCTCAGTGCAGCTTTGGCCACGTCATCGCAGTCCTTGTGTGTTGCGCGAGCTTCTGTTATTAGGTTCTCAGCTCCCATCTCTAAGATGGGCTGAGAAAAGTCCCGGCTCCGGGAAACCAGGTTGCGGATCAGCATGCAAGCCTGTTTCTGAGGAGAGAAGTAAACGAGAGATATTAGCATCTTTGCTAATGGATGGTAGGGAATACCATCCACGTAGGATGCCGGCACACACAAAGAAGACGTGGCTCCGACTAAAGAATCTTTTCTGGGCAACCAAACGTGAGATGCTGTAGACAGCAACAAACTATTTCCTGGAAGAATAAAATCCACGGACAAAAGCACGGCTGCTATTTCTCATTGAAGTTTATACAACAAAACCTTCTGCTTCTGTCAGAACAGCAGCAAATCTCAAACACCAGCCAGGCAATACCGAGTACTTCTTTAAATAATGCTAAGACAGACTTCTCCAGTTACAGCAGGCCCACTTTTCTACCGCCTTGTATGCTCTTCCAGGCACCTTCCCTGGCAGTTAGCTTAAACTACTAAATATATTCTATGGTATTTTAACACTCTGGAGAGCACAAAAGTGGACACAGGACCTACTGAGACTTGCATGAGAAACCAGAGGCTAACTTCTTGCCATGTAGGTGTTTTATTCAACTCTGGAGAACAGATGGCAACGTCTCCTATAGGACAGATAACATCGTAGCACAGGCTGGGTCTGAAGGAGCCTATCCTCATCCTGCTCTTTCGAGGAGGAGGAGAAGTAATGCCTGGAAGAGAAGCATGGCATTCCACAATCGCTTGAACCTGAATTCAGGTGGATTTGAAACCCAAAGTAACTTCTGCTCCGATCACATCAGGGTGACAGATGTCGGGAGTCCTGCATTTAGATGCTGCATTCCCAACATACTCAGAACCTTTTGGTATTTGCCAAGAAAAGGACAAAATCCCAATGATGCAGTGAACACAGGCAACACCAATCCTGAATAAATAATCAAGTGCTCTGAGGCAAATACCTGTACGGCCACTTCTCGTGGGTGTGCTTTCATAGCCTGAAGAGCTGCCAATGCCCCTCCGCCTTCCATGATGACATTACAGTTCTCAGGTTTGCGCAAAGCCAACACGCACAAGGCTGCACAACCCTGCTCACAGATCTGCAAGACAAAGGGCAAGAGACACTCACGGGCTGAAAATGTTGCTTTAAGGAAAAAAGTGTTTGGAGTTTGTTCTCTTTTTTGACGATTTTTAAAATTTATTTTTAATTTTATAAGTTTCTTCCACTGAAACATCCTGCTTCTCTGGCATAAACCAAGTTTTACACCTCAGAGGTGTAAAACTATATCCAGTATCCATCTGATTCAGGAACAAGAAAAAATCCTAATATAATAAGGTGGACATACCTTTACATTTACACAAATATTTGCCAAAGCACGCACTTAACCACTCTACAACAACGGGATGTTAAAGGTTTAATACATTGCTCAGCTGCAATCATTTTACAACTGTACTTAGAATGTATCTGCTCTCAGCATAAGCTGTTTATCACAAGTCAGAGCAACGCTGTGCGTTGTTCCCCTACGCGAGACGAGGTAACACAGCTACATGATGTAGCCCAAACCTGATCTCCATTCCCAGCCCCGGTGGGACTTCATCAACCACTTCGGTGCGTACCTGAGGGTTGGCAAGGTGATGGCTTATAGCGAGCACAATGAGGTCCGTTCCCCCAGCATTAACGATGGCATCTTTCACGTCGTCATTACCCGCAACCGCTCGGATGGCGCTCAGCACCTGCTTCACCACGTCCTGCATTCATCAAGAAAAAACAGCTTAGAAAGCTGCAGAGAGAGTTTTACAGACTTTTGAAAGCCAACCAGCACGTCCCCCAGCAACTCCATCCAAACAGCTGTAATTCCCAGTTATGAACAGCAACACTCTTCTCAGTCACTCACATCTCAGACACATTTTCTTGCTAGACAGAGTAATAAGGAACCTTGTTAGTTTGGCACAGGTTTTCAGAGAAGCTTAAAGAATCAAACACCAAGCCTCTGGGACCCAAGCATCTAAATCCTCTTGAATTTCTTCTAGCTAGAATGGTGGAAAACCAGAAGCTCAGCTTTTCCAGGAGCAAGCTGAGTTCTGCTTGTGGAGGACAGAGGAAGTAACTATGAGCACGGGGCTCAGAATTACTACATTCTAGGTTACAAAGCACATGTAACCTAGTTCTGTGTATAAGGCCATAAATAGAGATCAATGGTTGGGTTTCAACCCTTAACTGCACCTAAAATAATGCAGAGTCTAAGGCCCATTCACAGCCAGGACTTTAAACCGAAAAGCACGCCCTGCTGCATTACCTCCATTCCCAAGTACCCTTTATATCGCTCACCGGATGGTCGATGCAGTCAGCCAGGAGAGCCACCATAAAATTTAAGCCGCCGAGGTCCACAATTTCTTGACAGAATTCATTCCTGACAGAGAGGCGAGAAAGGGTGGCACACAGTTCACTGAGAACACTGGAGTTATCTGTGAATGCTGCAGAGGAGAGATGATGAATGGAGTAACTACGAGGAAGGAGGGGTGCTGCAGAATCAAGGTGGTTTACTTTGCTTCATTGAAAAAAAAAACACAACAAACAGGGAACAGTGAATTTCCCTTTATGTATTAAAACACATAAGCACAGATGACATCCTGTTCACGCTGTATCTAGGCTGAGACAGGGTATCTTTCCTTGGCAAGAATGCAGCACCTCAGCAGGGATAACGCGCCTGTAAACCTGCACTGGGCTGTAAAATACTTCTTAGATAGACTGACAAATAGCTCTGATAACTGTCACCTTGGTGCTGCTGATAGCCTCTGGAGCAGTCGTATTATTGTTCTCTTTTGGGGGACATTTCGTCAAAAGAATCAAACATCGTTTTAGTGGCAAATTTCTGCATCATCTCTGGGGAGCTTCAAGTTACAACAAAGCACAGTTTTGAGATAAGAAAGCACAGATGATTCAAAATTGGGATCAACAGTCACGGGGTTCATTTTACCTTTTGCAGCTTCAATGAGGACTCTTAACCCATCATTTTCCAGCACAATCATTTTGGCATGATCATGAGCATGACCAAAGGGCACGCGGATGTCATCATCAAACGTCATGATCCTGAGCGCTGAGGAGGCCATTCGGACGACATCGGCACTCTCTCCGTGCTGGACTATAGCTCCAGTCAGAAGTGGGAGAACCCCACCTTTCACAAAGTCCTGGCGGTTCTGCTCGTGTTTCAGACAGGCATGCCGAATGCATCGGATCCCAGCCAGCGTCATTTCCGCATCCTCCCTATATTCTTTCAGAGTTTGTAGCAGTAGATCCTGGCCAGCGGACTCAAGTAGGTCTGGCTGCCCATCCAAGATGGCAGACAGAGTATAAAAGGCTTTCAGCATTAAATTTCTGTCTCCTGAAGCCAGCTGGCAGGCAGAGAATACCACAGAATAGGCACCATTCTGCCCAGCCAGGTAGCGGAAAGCCAGCTGTTCTTTGCACTGATCAGTAAAGACCACTAGCTGCTCGGCCATCTCAGCAAGATCAGAGTCAGCAACGGCTCTCCCAAGGGAATCTAAAGTCTAAAGAAGAGAACAAGAGTTACTTTTCGATCTGAACTGTGAAGGAACAAGAACAGTTCCTTACAGTCAGTCAAATTTGTTTGTTTGTAATAATAGTCTTCTTTTAAATTTAAACTTAGTTTGACATATCTAAGAAACGGCTGTCTCAAAGAGCAGCATTTTGTCTTCATGCACAGGACCCTTGGAGGAATGGGGGCGTACTTGTACTTCTGCCATCAACGTCACGCCATCTCTGTACGCCAGTCCGACCAGCAGTAGGTGAACTGGGTCCAACCAGCACATTTCACAGGGGTCAGAGGTGCGCACGACTATTTTTATATTCTTGCTGGTGAGGGACTGTATTCAATCTTTTCATCTACCTTCAGAAGGGCTAGGTAACAGCTACCACTTAGGTTACTTGTATTTCTTTCATTGAAGTTCTTCTGTGGTTCGAGTTTACCTGACAACAGCAGAACCTGCTTCTAAGTTATGAGAGGGCAGTCTCTGCATTTCCTAGGCAGGAGATACTGGCATTTTGCACTTACACAGATACTTCCACTGAAAAGTGCAAGCTAGCTCTTTGAACCTTTATATTATTCCTAGTTTGCAGAATAGATGGGATTAACTGCTTGTTGAAGAGCTCACAAAGAAATGGGACAGAGGCAGACGTAGAAGGTATGTCTCATTATGCTTAGTCTATTACTTAAACTATTACATAACGCTGATCCTTAGAAGACAACATAAATTTGTGCTCCTACCAGCAAAATTTCATGCTTTTGCTTTTGACCATTTTCAGAGGCAGGCTGCCGCACAGCTTTCACAATATTGCTTAGGTCAACACCTAAAAGGAAAAACAAAAACAAGATTAATATTAGTGGCAGGAGCTCGGGTAAAATTTGTCAAGTCAACCACAGCGAACAAAGAAAAACTTATTGTAAAGCATAGATCAATGCACAAAGATGCTGAAAGGCTGCCAAAGTTCTGGCTAACTATAATGGTCAAATATGTCCTGGAACAAAGCATCAATTCTAGCTAAATGCCAATTGGGAAAAAAAAGAGTTTAATTCCATTCACCAAATTGCACCCTGCAGTTTCACCTAACGCAGTTTTTCAGTCATAATTACTTCGTGAAACTAGGTTAGCGTTAATAGTATCTATGTTCCACTTCACAAAGGCTTCTTTTCAATGCTGGATGATCAATCTTTGCGCGCAGGTTCTCTTAAGTTTTGAGATATGTAAAACCTCAGTCTGCAATAACCTGAACTGCAAAAGTAGATGAATCTACAATACCTTGGGACTCAAACTGCTGCACAGCTTCTCTCACAGCCTCTTCCGGATCCATTTCAAATTCTGTAATGTTTTCTTGCACTGCATCATCAAACGTTTCCTGTGCAATCTGTTTCGATCCCATTTTACTTGAATGGGGTAAACTGCTTCCTCGTCCTGTCATTAAGATAGTCCATAATTAGTTTTGGTGCAAAACCTTCTAAGGATAATCAGGAACAAAGGAAGTGACTTGCTCTTTTCCAAAACAAAAGCACAGAACTTGAAACCAAATTTATATAGTCAAAAGGATGGTTTTTTTTTTTTTTTTAACGGGCAGAAATATACCAATTAAAAGAAATAAGGAGGAATTTCAGAGGCCCGGGATTTGGATTGGGATGCCGCTGCTGCTCTGCTGTGGATGGGTGTGTTACCGTGACACGGCTCTCACCACACCTCGCCTGCCGGAGGGGCACGGCGGGCGGCCCGCCCCGACACCGACAGCA